GTCTCACCTAAAAATCGCCATTCTATCAAAAAGTGAGACAGAATCCACGCCACACGAAATTGACGAAACATCTCGAGTATATCGCCGTTCATCTTCAATTTATTCAAATTTATTGTCTATTTTCCGAATATTGACCTAAAATTTTAAAAACTATTTTATGTGTAAATGCCTTTTAAGTATCCGTCTAGGCATACTTATCAATAATATATTACCCATTTAAGGGAGTTACCAATAAAACACGAGCCGACATGTATATATCTTTCGTCAACTAGGCTATAAAAATTAAAAGGTCCAGACATTTTATTTATTGTAAACTACCTTTTACGAACTTTGTCGATAAAAGTATACTGATTACGATGATACAAAAATTGTTAAGCGTTTTCCTGCCACGAAATTATAGATACCAAATAAATTCAAAAATTCTAGGGTTTGCTCCTTCGAATAATTCGGAGAGCCTTTACAATTTGAATGTCTACACATAGTGGAATTTTAATATTCTGCAGAATCGTTTCAACTGCAACGACAAGTATAGAATGAAAAAGCTTACGTCTTCCTTGATGTATCCTAAACTTTTTAAATAAATATTTCAATGTAAATTAATAGTTTTACGTTTACGCCTCCCACAACAATGACCGTACATCTGAGTAGATATATACAGGGTGTTTCACGAACATCGAAACAGAGGCGTTTTAATGTATTTTGAGGTCGATTTAAAAAAAAAAACGCTCGGACATGTCAATTTTGTATTCAAGGGGGAAACTTTTTGACCCTATCATCGGTATTTCGCTAGGGTGCACCTCCTGGGTGGGGTGACTTTCACCCCTCTTTTTTAGATAGGGAAGATGGGTTCAGTAAAGGTATTTTGATTCTCGTCACAACTGCGTATTTTTTTCGAAAATCGAATAATTAGTTCTCACGATATTCACTATCAAAGTTGCCATGGGCTAAATAAGAAAAAAAATCTGGCCCTGTTATTCTCAAACTAACACTTTCCTGACTTTCCTCTTGGACACGTCAATTTCTATGTTTTTGAGAAGCACACAAAAAATAAAAATTGACGTGTCCAAGTCAGGAAAGTGTTAATTTGAGAATAACAGGGCCAGAATATTGTTTCTCATTTAACCCATGGCAACTTTCACAGTGAATATCTTGAGAACTTATCATTCGATTTTCAAAAAAAATACGCAGTTGTGACGAGAATCAAAATACCTTCAAAACAAGGTAACACGCAACCCAGCTCCCCTATCTTAAAAAGAGGGGTAAAAGCCCCGTCCAGGGGTGACACGAGCATATGCTTAAGTTTTTTGAGATAAACATATTCAGTTTTAATGCAGCAAGAAGAGACGGAGGTAGAGTAAAAGCATTTGCTACACTTTATTCATACGACTGTCTGTTTCGATGACCGTGAAACACACTGTATATTATATACTCCATTTAGATTTTTAAGCAATCAATAAACTCTATCCTATCTAATTAAATTTATATCTATCAATGTCTCTTGACGATGCGGTGGAAACCATCGCATTGAAATAAAACCAATACAATTGTTCCATAGTAAATTTCATGAGAATTTTATAAACAATTCCCTATGGCTGGAATCTAGAATAATAATTGCAAAATAATGAAATTCAACTTCTGATAATAATAGAAAATCAGAAATGTCACACTTCGTTCAGCCACAACTTTCATTCGAAGACAAGACACAAATACTAACAAATTTTCACATAACCGCATCTCAAGTTGCTATTTTGAAAACCTATACTAAAAGATGACAATTCTCTCAAAATCTTGATTAGTCCCCAATAGTATCAGTTTATACCAGGCAGAGTTTAACGACTCATTCTTCAATGATTATCTGATAAGATTATGACCTGCACCCTTCATAGTGACCACCCCATTAGTTTTGGATTCCTTCCCATCAACATACAAATTGATTTTTAAATCTCTTTTCTGTGGTCGTTTAAATGTCTCAAACCGAAATAATTATTCAGAGGGTATATTGTTACAATAGTTAATAGTTCTTAGAAAACAGACAATCCCTAAATAATTTTTGATTAGTGCTTGTTCTCCTTTTTTTTTATCATAGACTACCTCTCGTGTATATACCTAATTGGTTACAAAATAGCACAATTAGGCAATACCACGTGACCAACTAAGCTATCAAACGGCGCAAACAATTAGAATTTGACCGTGTCTCCGTATGAAATTAGTCTTTCTGTTTAGTAGATTTCTCTAGCAGTTTTTTGCTCGATGTAGGTAATATACCAAGGACCTTGAATAATACAAATTTCAAAGGGAAATTAATTGTTAAAGGATCTTTGGTTATTATTTTTTGTGTCCATATCGACCTTTTCAGTTTTTACATCTAATTTAAAATTGTTTCAATAAAGATATTCATGGGTTTAGCGGGTTTAGGCATACATATTTATACAGGGTGATTGATGATCGATGGTAGATTAGACGCTTATGGAAACCGTAATATTGGATGTTTTTGAAAATTTGCATGCCCAAGTATAGTTGCTCCTGATCTATCATTCTAAAATAATTTCAACGATGCAACGTTGCCGCTTATACCAAAAAGTAATATAGAGTTTGATATTTTAAATGAGACACTTTGTATATTATTACATTTTTCGCTCCGCTATTACTTTCTGAATATGTTTCACGAACATCGAAACAGGCGTTTTAGGGTATTTTAAGGTCGATTTAAAAAAAAAAACGCTCGGACACGTCGTTTTTGGTATTATTCAAAGCGGAAACTTTTTGACCCCATCGGTATTTTGTTAGGGTGCACCCCCTGGGTGGGGTGACTTTCACCCCTCTCTTTTAGATAGGGAAGATGGGTCGAGTGATACCTTGTTTTAAAGGTATGTATTTTGATTCTCGTCACAATTGCGTATTTTTTTGAAAATCGAATGATTAGTTCTCAAGATATTCACTATCAAATTTGCCATGGGCTAAATAAGAAACAATCTTCTGGCCCTGTTATTCTCAAATCAACACTTTCTTGACTTTTCTCTTGGATACGTCAATTTTAATTTTTTGTGTGCTTCTGAAAAAATGATGATGATTTAAAACAAAACATCTTACAGAATATGGCCAGTATTAATATTGATTATGACATCTCAATAGTTCCCCTTGATAATAGAAATAACATAAAGTCGTTTTCCTTGCAAGAATTGGATTCTGCTTCGAAAAATAAAAAAATTTCTGCACCTGGGTTAGACGATATTACTTACCCTATTTTTAAAAATTTACCTCTTAGAGGAAAACAAATTCTTTTAAATATGTTCAATAAAAACATCACTGGAGAAAAAATTCCTACCTCTCGGAAAAATATTAACATTGTTAGCTTTCTGAAGCCAAACAGGGATCCAGCTGCAGTTGAAAATTGTGGGGGCAAAATTTTGGAAATTATGATAAAAAATAGATTAGCTAGACTAGCAGTTAGAAAATAAACAAGTATTTAATAATAATCAGTTGGGTTTTTGGAAGGGAAAAGGAATTTATGATAATATAGGCTTTCTATCTACATATATATTTAATGCCTTTCTTGCTTCAGAGACGGTAATAGCTGTTTTCTTCGACATCGAAGGCTGCATACGATAATGTAAATATATATGTGTATAATAAGCTTCAAGAACTAAATATTCCACTTGAAATCAATAATCTCATTCATTCATTTCTCAGAATGGGACTTCTATATAGCAAATCTAACATGGGAACCATTATGGGACCCTTTTTGGCAACAATGGGTTTACCTCAAGGTTCCCCGCTAAGTACTATCATTGTATAGTACTATTCTTTTCAATGTATATGTGGCAGATCTTTTCAAATTGGAACTGGCTAATGTTTCTCCAATTGGATACGCAGATGACCCGATCATGCTCATAAAGCGTACGTGTTTGGAGGAAATGTTCGCAGAAATAACTTTTGCCTTGGAAAAGGTGGACTGGACCTAACATAAGGGAAAATAATCAATAATCTTTCCTTGGCACCAAATAAATGTGAAGCCGTGTGGTTTTACACAAGGTGTAAGAAAAACAACTCCCAATCCTATTAGATGTAACAACCAAACCATTAATTTCCAGCAGCAGGTTAAATATTTAGGGGCGATGTTTCAGAATCATCTGAAATGGGATGCACCTATAAAATTGATCACAACAAAAGCTAAGGAAGCTCTTAATATCTTGAAAGCTATATGTAGAGTATGGTGGTTTGTAGATCCCTGCACCACGTTGACAGACTTTCACGCTTTGGTTAGGTCACATTTGGATTTTGGAGCAATCTTTATTAAATCTACCAGTCAAAAAAATTTGCTGCGAATTTGTTTGGGATGCATGAGATCGTCACCTACACTAGCAATTCTTTCTGAAGCGGCAATAGTGGATCCAGAGCTAAGGGGAAAGATGCTGGCAATCAAACGCACAGTGAATCTATTGGTCATTCAAAATCATCCGACTGTAAAATTATCAACAGAATGTCGTAGGCAGCTTATCTTATCAATGATGGTGGAAATTTTTACAATTATGACAATATAGGTACCTTTAGGATTAAAATTACTATTTTGGTCCTGCTGTATATAGGTGATACCAACGGTAATACGCAGTTAATGAATTTATATATTTTCGGATGACTATGAACTCTATTCTTAGTTAAAAAAATTATTACAAAACTATAATTCCGAACGTGCTCTATGAATTGATCTACGACAAATCCTTTTTTCCAAGTTATGACGTCACCGATGACGTAATTACAAACCTTCGTGCAACGAACTATATGTTTGTTTGAAATTTCGGAAATAAAAAAACTTATTTTTCAAAAAAAAGCAATTGGATATATAAACTTCCATGAATAAGTACGACACATGGGACATGGGGAGGTCATATCTTCTATGCGGTATTGCCAAATTGTGCACACTTTCCTTAAATTGGTGAGAAATTAAATTTGGAAACGCCAGTAATTGGTGTATAACAATATGTATAGCAGGCTGCTGGATTGCCTAATCCATGTTCAGCTGTTATCTAAACAAATTTGGCTATAAGGTAGAGGTTTAATTAAAAAATCAAATTTCCAGACAAAGATGTAATATATTAGAATAACTTTACATTAGAAAATATATCAACTAGGCGATACAATTTTTGTTACTATTTTAACTATCAAGTCGGTTTGAAAAAATGTTTTATAATAACTTAATAAAATAAAATCTAATTTATTTGTTAACGGTTGAGGTTGAAAATTCGACACTAAATAAAGTAGACCATAACGAGATCAAAAATATCTATATAAAGAAATATAATTAGTTACAACACAACAAACTTTCATATATATATTTTTTTTTTGTATTAAAAATACCTATATATTTTTTAGTTCAAACATAAAACATAATTAAGTATACTAATTTAGTTATATAGAGGTCCACATATAGATTATATTTATATAGGGAACAATAATAATAGTATATTACATACCGAGGTGGAAAGTGTTTCATTACTGTCGAGAGATCAGTTAGTTAACTGAGACGCGAAGCGTCGAAGTTAACTATAATCTCGAGATAGGAATGAAACTTCCTACCGAGGTTTGTATACTATTTTATTTACAACAATTACAATCCTCATAATTTCGACTAAATACTAAAAAAAATTTAAAAAATTTGTTGACAAGTTCTGACTCATCTAAAAAAACGTTTGACATGCAGGACTCGTCTTAAACATTTTAGGAAATGAGAACTTACTTTCCACCCGGGACCACTTTCCACCCGGGTGGAAAGTAAAATTCAAAAAAGTGTCACTTTCAAACTTTTGAAAAGTCAGAAATGTCAACATTACGTATGTGGTTGTAAATAAAATATTTGTTTTCGTACCATAGCCAGAACACTTTGGAATCTCGGTGTCTGTCTGTTAGAGTAAGTTTTATTTTTTTAAGAAACAGTTTAAGATACAGTGCTAAAATTCCTACAGTAGAAGCAAGTTATGGCTAAACATAGATGCATAGACAAAATATACGATTTATAAGGGTAGAAATTGATTACTAAGAAGAATTATCTAACGTTTCAAGTGGGGTATTAAATGAAAAATATTTACCTAGGTTAAAAACTCAAAATTAGGCATACCTAATAATAAAACTTACCTATTGGCAATTGGAAAGAAACTAAATGGATGAGCTTTTAATGAATCCAAAATGCATTGCCCATGTTCCAAACAAGAGAAACATTTAAAAAATCACAAATATTCCTAATAATGTCCACAACCAAGACAAATTATCAGATCTTAATTGATTTCCTTATATAGTCATATCTATATAAAATACTATTCTAATAATTGTGCATTCACCACGATGTCGATAATTTTTTTACTATACATATTTATCAATAATTATTTTCCTAAATCCTTTTGCTATAACTAGAATCATTTGGAAGATTATAAAGGAAAAGCAAAAAAATATTGCACGGAACACCTATAATGCAAGTTTCACTCACACGCAACTGTTTTTTTTGCTTACCTATACATACATGAAGAAATAATAATTATCTATTACAGTCGACACCCGAATGAACCTTGGCGACGTGTGAAGTAGCAGAGGGGAAAACATGTAAAAATCTCCTAGTCTCACTCGGACTCATAGGCGTGCCCACATACTTTCCACGCAGATTCGTTCAGTTGTCGCACTGTAGGTAAATAACTGAATTAGTACTACGAAAACTGAAATAGACAACTCCGTCTTCAAATTACTGTTCCATAAGTAAGAATACAGAACAGTTTCTGGAAGAGACTCCGTCAAGTTAGCCTCGCCTATTAAGTTTTTCTATTTTTTCTCATGCTAATTAATGGTACCTACGTGCACAACGGAGCTGTGATACGAACTTGTAGCCTGGATGTCAGATGATAGCTGAAAATATAAGCGCTTGTAGGTGTGCACAACGGAGCTGTGATACTAACCTGGATTTATAGCCTTAAAACAATTTCATCTCGCATTTCCTGATCGCGATGTCGGACAGTGATGACGATTATTTATGTTCGTGCGCTACAAAATGGTAGGTATGCTCTGCGGCATTTACCCCCAAGAGAATACCATACTCACCCAATTAATAAAAAACGGTTAGAAATGGGAGATTATCATCACATTCACATATGAGGATGTGAAGGGATAACCTGATGCTGATGATCGTTTTTATCGATATTGAAAATAACTTTTCAATACATTTTAAGTAAAATTAAAGACAAGTCGATGACTGGGCATGTGCCACCTTTGTCAGCTGGTTTCTGCTCGCAGAAAGAAAGGTAAAATTCATTATGGTATGCTATAAGCGATCATCCCAGCTATACTCACTGCTCCGATGTGGACGCTCACATTTAAACCAATGATATAATTCTAATCATCGATGATAGTTTCCATCTATTTATTATCCAGGCTATAAGTACGTTTCACAGCTCCCTATTGTGCACGTATATCCTAATATCCTAACTGTGCTTCCAGTGTACTTTACTGCGCTGCTAATATTAGGGACTGTGCTGAGTTGCACTCAATGCTCTTATTGCAATTTGCACAAACATTTGAGGGGGGAGTAAAAATCAATGCAAGTTTCAGTGTGCTGAACTGTGCTGTTAATATTTTCAACTTAGTTTTTCGCTTAACCCCCGGTTTTTCAAAAAATGCTATGGCGGGGCCAACTTGACGCTCAACTCTTTCTATAAAACAAAAGCAAAAATCAATACAACTTTCAGTGTGCTGAATTGTTCTGTTGAAACTTTCAATTTAGTTTCGAGTTGAAGCTTAATTTAAAAAAAAAAATACAAAGGCGGATCCAACTTGTCAGGCAAGTTTTCGCCCCTTAGCGCCCCGATCCTAAAACAAACTATATCACAATTTTGCACAAATTTTGCAAAACCCAAACCGAATTTTGAACACCCCCCTCCCAGAGACTACAGCCGGTTTTGATATGGGAGGCTTGACGGTTTTCCCCCGAATGAAAGCAAGAAGATTTTAAATGCGTCTATCATATTTTTGTTATAATTTGCACAATGTTGCATACTAATTTTTAAATTTTTCACACCTTTCTCGAAAAAACGGGGGGACTGAGCGTCAAGTTGGCCCCCCTCAAATTTTTGTGAACAGCGTTGAGTGCAACTCAGCACAGTTCTTAATATTAGCAGCACAGTAAAGCACACTGGAAGCACAGTTTATTCGCACGAAAAAAAATATATAATAGGCAGGGCTAACTTGACTGAGCTTTTGAAAGATTAAGAATAATTTCAAACTACTCACAAACGGCAGTATAAATATCTAATAATTAGGGCCTTTAGAAACAATTACTACTTTCATTTCAAAACTTGCTACCCATGTTATCTGCGTAAAGAGGCGTATTTCAGGAAATCGTCGAAACACGTCAACAAATTTATTGAGAGGGAACGTATTTTACGTAAAACTGAACTTCGCCCCTTCAATCCCCTAACCCCTAGGGCTACCACCCCAAAATTTTTAAAACAGAGAGTGGGTTGAGTGAGAGATCATTTTGAAGGGCCGTTCAATCTGTAGGCCGTCCTATTTTTTTGAATTTGACCTCACTGTTGCAGAATAACACCCATTTCAATGTTTAGAAATGCCTATTTATCTTTAAACATATGCTTGCTTACCTACCTTTTTATTACAGCAACAGGTAACCAAGCAGGTGTGTTTAAAGATAAATAGGCATTTTTAAACATTGAAATGGGTGTTATTCTGCAACACTGAGGTCAAATTCAAAGAATAGGACGCCAAAATGTACAGATCAAACAGCCCTTTAAAATGATCTATAACTCGACCTCCTCTCTCATTTAAAAATTTTGGGGTGGTAGCCCTGGGGGTTAGGGGATCAAAGGGGCGAAGTCCAGTTTTACGTAAAATACGTTCCCCCTCAATAAATTTGTTGACGTGTTTCGACGATTTCCAGAAAAACGTCTCTTCACGCAGATAACGTGGGTGGCAAGTTTTGAAATGAAAGTATGTACCTACTGCATTTATAGATAGGTACCTATTACGTGAAAAGTATGTGCGTGAAAAAATATATGTTTTCTTTCAAAAGTTCATTACAGTAGGTACATACCTTATATTTAAATTTCAAAAAATTAGGTTTTATATGAATATAGCCACATGACCTAAATTATATAAGCTGTGGAATTTTTCTTACACTTTCGGAGTTGTAGAAATGTGTCCAATAAAGGTGTTTGCCCGTCGGAAAATATCACCTAAATGCTACACAAGGAGGTACAGTTGCGATAAAAAAAAACTAGTAGAAAAATTATTAGTCTAGGAGATTTTGGAGATTTTTCTTAAATTGTACCACTTTTTTTTATCGCAACTGTACATACTTGTATAGTTATAATAATTATGGAAAAACATAGATTATAATGTATAAGTAACCAAATAATAATCAAATAATAAACACCGTGAAGGGTATCAACAGAACGCGTTCTAAACATTGCTATCTAGACATTATTTTATTCACACTGGCCATTGTAATTACATAAGTCAGAAACATTTTCGTTGCCGCAGAGTTTTTAGTGTGCTAACTTCAACATCATTTATACGATATCGCTTCAAAAGAAAGTGCCCTTTTGCATGAAAACAGTGTGTCTGCTAATTGGAGGTGTCTTTTGTGAGATATTTCAATATATGTATTTGCCTATGTAAAATCAAAAAAAAATGTTGATCAAATCCTATGAATATCTTAAAATTAAGTTTTTATTATACATCCAAACCTAAAATTATCTACACTACACCATACATATTATTTTGTTCCATTAAGTAAAAATACGCTTACACAAAAATGCGTTTTCAATTTTTCTAAAAAGATAAAATTAGGCCGCTTTACTACTGAGAAAATACTTATATAAATTCGTGTAAATATTAAAGCAAGTTTATTGTTCACATTTTTATTTTGTAAACACATGTTACATTAACTCACAGTATATTAGATTCTTGAATTTCGGAACATTTGAAGTTATATTCATGCCAAAGTGCTTCGAAAATCAAGCATGTATTTATGGTAATCTTTGATTTGGGTATATTATCAGAAAATTATAGGTTAACATTTAAAATAGGGATTTCTATGTTATATTTTTCTTTATAGTATATTGGTTACCATTTAAATTTTTGTGGCATCAAGTTAGGTAAATAAGTAGGTATCTACCTAAAGATTGCATTCCCGGTTATCTTCAAAAACGCGGTGACATGCTGCCAGTAAATCGGCGTCCATTACCGATAATTTCGGTAAAATTTGAATATGTGGGCGCCTTGAAAAGGGAGAGTACTTTATACCGGACAATATCAGTTTCCAAAAACAATCAAATGACTTATCCCGATATTTTGCAATCTAATCCACTTTTCGCGTTTTCATGTCAAAATTTGCAAAGACTGGGGTGTGCAGAGAATCAGGCAAAGAAGTTCTCAGCGCGGGCAACTACATCAACGAAGATAAGTCAGTAAGGGATGGAACATGGCGTAAATGGAACAATTTATATACCGATAAGACGAGAACTGCCTTCACAAAATACTCCCACATTATTAAATTCCCGCAAAAAACTCCAAACTAGATTCTGCAACAAGTAAAGCAACTTGCAAAGTGAAAAATATGTCGAGATACCTGAATAGGTCTTTGAATAACTAAACTCCAGATATTTCCAAAACTATTGAAAGAAACATAAACATATATTACATAATCTGAATCAGAAAAACGAGAACTTTAAGGAAATTGAAAGAAAATAGAGTGCATTCCATTTGAAAAAAGGTAACATCGACATATTTTTCCACTTTGCGTTGCTTATTTGTTTAATCTAATTGAAAATTCTGGAGGTTCAGATAAAATGCAAGTAGTTTTGTATTTACACCTTTTATATCTATCACCTGTAATTACGGCTGCAAGAGGGTGTCAAAGTATTAGTGACTCACCCTGTAATTTCATTGGTACACTGAAGATAAATTTTAAATGGATATCCTGTTAACAGTTTCCTAATGTTAGGGTTAGGCTCAATAAAATAAAAATGTTTTTATCATTCTTGCTTATAAATCAGAGTTTTTAGAGCCATTGAAAACTTTTGAAGAATATTTGAAACTTTTTAGAAATACATCTTCTCTTTCTTGGACATCTCAACTTGCAACTGTTGAAGAAAATTTGTCTGAAAACATACAAGCTTTAGTACAGATAGGTATGGTTTTATCTTTGTACCGATTTTCAATTTTTTTTTTTCAATAGTGAAGTCAACTTTATACAGGGTGTCAATAATCATGTGAAAATATCTCAAGAATATAGAAAAAAAATAACACCCCATCACAAACCAATTCAGCGCTCCGAAACAATTTCATCACAGAGTCTAAAACTGAACTACTAAACAACTTCCGCTACTCAGATGGAAGTACGGACAAGTCATGGCAAGGTATGAAAATGTGACATCCCTACCTACATACAAGGTAGGCCGAGGAGCTGCTTTGACGACTTTGCAAAATGATGTGACGACATTTCATGTAATGAATATAGGCAATATTATGGATTGGAATACCATGATGAGGTGTCTGGAAATAACGCATCGAAATTCCGTTCTACACTCGCAGAAACATTTCTCTCGTACATCAGCTAGATGAAAAACGTTTTCATTTAAGTAGAAATTCACCTGTTCTAAACTTGTTGTACAGGGCGTCAAGCAAATGGAATCGGTGAATCAATTTACCAGTCAGTTCTTAGAGTAATTTTAAGCTTGTTGATCCGGGTCACAATAATTATGCGTCGGCGCCATTGTTCCGGAAAAGTTGAAGTGTTACCTGTTGTAGAAATGAAAGACTTACTGACTCTTTCAGACAAAATAAGCAAATAATCAACTATTAAATGTAAGAAAGTTATGTATTTAACACGATGTAGCATATAACTATTCTTCTGGTATCTTAAAAAATGTACCAAGTTAGTTCAATATACCAAATAATCGAATTAGATGCGGCCTTTATCAGTAGAAATATTTAATGGAAGTTACTGCCAGCTACAAAAATTGTTGAGTTTGGCTAGATGGTAATAGTATCAACTTTTCTTTTGCTCATCTAGTAGGGACTGATTAATTTCTCTTGCATAGCGAGAATTTCTCCCCTATGACAAATTCGATACAATAAAATAAAAATTCTCATTCGAATAATGTGACATAAGTAGATTTTCTTTTAACACTCAGACACTTAGTGTCCTCAACAAATTGCATACATTATATGGGTACACAATAACAATAATTTATAGGAACAACAAATTTGAGACAAAAAAAAACATGTACACTTCCTATTCTATTAGTTTTTTTTTTATAATTCATTTTAATACAGCTGTACAGCCTATAAAATACTATCACACATTTTTATCCAAATGCATTTATCACTCGTAATTAAAAAAAAAATCTGAAAAATTGGGGTTGGCAACAAAAAATCAATTCCAATTTATCGATTGGCACAAAAATATTTATAATCGTCTACCAATGTGTGTCTCTTATATACCATTATTGATTTCTAAAAAATTTGTTCTGACCCTATTGGTATTTAAAACTTTTAATAATAGCTGTGTAAGTTCCGAATATAGCTATAACGGAACACTGATATGTTTGGACAGTAATTGGCAAATATGATTGTAGTTCGGTTTTGGCAATTAGATAACAGGGTCCTATTGAACTTATTTATATCTTTACAAGTATGTATCCGCAGTGAAACGATGATTGAAGCCAATTTTCATGTATTTTCAGACGTTTCCGTTTCCGTCTAAATTAGACCAATATCACTGCAATCTAAAATCTTGATTTTGTAGGAATAACGTACTTTTTTGTAGATTTTGGACATTGTTTCTAATGAGCTATGCTTATGCTCGTTTTCGAACAAGATATGATGCATAAAAGGCGAGCATTCCATGAAAGTTCTAGGATTTCAACTCTAGCTACTCCTGTAATTTGGATGAAACTTTTAGCATTTTGTGATAAACGATATCTACTCTCAGAATGATATATTATTTAGTGTTCATGAGAAAAAAATCACTGTATACATATTATACATACTTATAACACAGATTCCGATCCATTGTAATGTGGAAATGATTTTTTCTCTTTCGCCTAAACATATTGGCAAAGGTTGGGTGTTCGCAAAAGTACATCCAGATACTCCGCCTGCGGCATGATAACATGAATGTAATGGTCCTAAGCAACGATGGACAAAAAGAGTCTGTTCAAATAACTACAGTAGGCGTTAAAGAGGGCTGTCTTATTACATCCACTTTATTTTCTATATTTATAGGATCCATACTTCATCTTGTCGAGGGTCACTTGCCGCATCGATAACAGCAACTGGGATACGACGGCAAATGATAACAAGAGCTTGGCGGAAATCACGAAACAATTCTAAAATGTTGAGGCAAGGAGTGCTGCGTTGCCAAATTGACGTCAAAGTATTTTGTTTTGTCGGTTTCTAAATTCCGAGTCACCTCCGGGTTTGTTTTAACTCCAGGGTAAACGTGTCCAGGTGCAATGTTTACCCTGGAGTTATGCCTAACACGGGGATGACTTGCTATTGAGAAACCGGACCTCAGAATATTACAGGTTTTTGTTATTTGTATATTAAATAAATTGGAGGCGAATGATTAAATTATACAGGAATGTTATCTAGCTCTTGTCAAATGCTAGGCCCTCATGGCGTCGAGTATTCCACGACGCACCACAAACTTTTGAAGAACACCGACGCAGACACGAGACCGAAAAGAGGGACCGCAGGAAGGAGCGAGAGAACAGAGGAAGACACAATGCTACCAGAGGCTGGGTGTGCCAAAACTGTGGAAGAGTGTGTGGCTCCAGAATTGGTTTATATTAGCTCTGTTCCAACCGACATGGGAACCGTTCTAGAACGGTAATTTCCAGTCGATCAATTCATTTGTCCAGTAGGATAAACGTTGAACTTATTGAAAAAAAAGGTGGGCAACTGGAAATTTCTGGTTCTGGAACGGTTCTCATGTCGGTTGGAACAGAGCTATAACCATCAGAAAATGCCGACAATAAGATTAGAATAGAAGATAATCATAATCGGTATCGAGTCTATGATGATGATGACCTAAAACGTATCTACTGAGAGAGGCCTTTTGTTCTGTCAAAGAATTTTTTCAATCACTTTTTATTCTGTTTGAACAATGAAAATGGTTACCCAGCCCTTACAACTAGTATTTTATGTTTTTTTTTTTAGGTTTTTCTGATTTTTACGTATTTTGTTCGTGAAAGTCCATTTACATTTTCACCTTAGTTTATGTGGTGTACTGTGTAGAATAATTATTGTAAATATGCCTTTTAAACTTGAAAAGGAAATAGATTCACTTATGCCAAGTTGGTCATAGCTGAGCTTGTAAATGTGCGAAGTTAGATAGAAAGGTCTTTAATTTAGGGAGAAGGGAAAAGTTTGATAATTTTATGAGAGTTGCATCTGCCTTTCTAATCTGCAATCTTTAATATTTAAGGGTACCTATGTATTTGTAATCTGAGTAGGTTTGGTCAGTTAGGTACCTTAAAATTTTACTTTTATTTTATTTTATTTTATTTTTTCACTGTAGGGCGAACTTAGGGCATTGATTTTCAAATTTTTATGAACTAGTAAAGACTTCCATGCTTTGTCAATAAGAAAAAATGTATTTGCAGTTTTTTTCTTGGACAAGAAAGTAGGTACAAATCATTTATTCATTCTCATTGTGAAAATACATGGAAACCATTTTCTATTTAATTCTATTTCAAGAGTAGTATCGTTTATCAAAAAACAGCGAAAGTTTTATGCAAACCACAACAATGTTGAAACTTAGGTACACGAAAAGCAAGGTTGTTCGAGAGAGGTAGGTTGCCTGATAACTTTATGACGTCATATGGGGTGCCTCAACAGAATTCAAATCTCCACAAGGCACCCCAGATGCGTCATCAAGTTACCCATTACCAGACAACCTATTAACTTTAGGAACCTTGCACGAAAAGAACATATGTTTGGTCCGTCTATTGTTCACCTCAATGACTATTTTAGAATTTCAAACGCACGACGGATCTGCTTTCGGGTAAATTCTTGACAAAACGACAAATTTATCACCAAACCAAACTAGTTATTAGTTTTAAAAAATACCTGCTGCGATGGATATTTTTTTTGCCTCTTTGATTTCATTCCAGAAAAAAGTGAATATGTACAGTGTGGTTATTTAAGTGTGCAACATATTATGGGGATTTTTTTTAGGAATAGCACAACCCAAATACAAACAAGGCCAAAAGTTGGTGCATGTCTGATAATCATATTAGGTGCACTTAGAATGGTTGCAAGTCAAATAGCTTTCAGGGTACCTCAAAAAATATCAAAATTGTACTGTGAAGTAGGTACCCTTATTTCAGACAATTCAGCAAAATTTACTTAAATAAAACAAAACTTTTGCACTTTAAGGAGAGTTTTTTTTAATATGCATATTATCATTAGTAATGTTTCAACTTGTTAAAAAAAAAATGCGACATTTCAAAGTTGTGTTGAATATCATTGCAACAAACATGAACTTTATGATTCCATAAAAAATAAAAAATCTAAGATAATTTTACAAATATGCTTGAATTTGAACAAAGTTATGTGAAGTTGATTTGATTTTAATTAATTTTTGAAAGTATTAAGGGCGGAAATAAAAAATAGAAAAAATATAGAAATTATTAATGGTTTTCGAAAAAAAAAAAAACAATCTTAGGAGGCCATGTTTTGGTGTTTAGGCATAACTTTTATTGACTTTTAATTCCAAGCAACTTTTCTCAATAACATTTTGCTGAATTTTCTAAAATAAGGGTACCTAGGTACTTTTTTGATATTGTTTGAGCTACCCTCTGTATGCTGTTTGACTTGCAACCATTCTAAGTGCTGCTAATATGATTATCAGACATGCACCAACCTCCGGCCTTGTTTGTATCTGGGTTGTCCTATTACTAAAAAAAATCCCCATATGTTGCACACCAAAATAACCACACTGTATATTTAAAAAGAAATTTGGTCACCATGTTGAAAATTTGGTCTAATTTATTTACATACCAAAAAGCATTGAAAAATATGTAGGTACCTACTTAGTTGAGATATCTATGTATTTCTTCGGCTGCTACTACATATTTATTAAGTATATTCGTAAAAAATTATATTTTAGATAATATAAAGATCCCTTCAAAAATCTAGTTTTTGTTTTAAACATAACAAATTAGGGAAATTATTTAAAGTATTTCGTGGTAAATAACCTATAATTATTAATATTTAAATGATTTTTATATTAAATATGCAATGGTAAATTTATGAAATATGTCCTTCAGGATAATTTTTCTATCTACTTAGATATAAAAATACTTTTACCAGATTGCGGTAAACAAGCGGTAATTTATTTTTCTGCTTTTAGCTACCTATACTGGTAATCTATTAAGTAATTTATCCCGTTCTTACTTATAAGTACCCTGTTTTTTTTTAACCAGAGCTTGAGATATTTGTCTTATTTTAGGCCCAATTGTGATGTTTTGATAACTCTGTAACTTACAGGATTATTGCAAAATTTACAGGCTATTGTAACTGTTCTTTCTGGGCATAAAATATAAAATAACTTTTTTGATCGGAGTTACTCATTAATACTTAGTATTATCACAAAACACATTTTTTTTTTTAATTTGTTTTCCTCAAGAAAAGTAAAGGATATGATAAGCGGTTTGGGTAGCTACGACGGATTTTTTAAATTATTACTTTCGTCTTTCACATACGCAATAATAAGCATTTTCACCTAATCTTAGAAAAATCTATGGATAATATCTACCTACATAAATATTCGTATCATCGTATTCTTCGAATTAGTTACTTATATTTTGTAATAATTATTAGATAGGTACATCTGATTCTTTATTGTTATTATTTTTGTAGAAAATAATTCGCATGCTGTGTGTTTTATCTCCAATTCATGAAATTTCCTAAGATGAAAGAAGAACAAAATAGTTTGAAGCTACTACTGGGCTAATTAAAGAGCATTTTCATACTAATAAACATACACATACATTGCGCATACAAAAAAAAAAAACAGAAAAAATAACTAGATAATTTAATAATACTAATAATGGACTGACCATCGGCTGATACGAGCCAGAATGAACTTGTGCATCCCACCAAACAGTACATGTCAAAAAAAGCTGTTCAAACGCAGGAACTTCCGTTAGAGTAACCGAAAAGCATTGAGGAGCACTAGAAAATACTGAACACCGCAATAACATCTGCCTCAGAAGAAACGGTCGGCTACATACAAGAGATAAGCATCAAGACTGGTTTGATGAGAACGACACTGAAATTCAATACCTTGTAGAAAGAAAAAGAAGGGCGCAAATGCATGGAAAATCGACCCCAACTCGATTGTAAAAAAAGGCAATACCAACAAGCAAAAGCAGAAGCTGAAAGGCAAACGCGAGTGTTAAACAGTGGTGGATAACAACATCAAAAGAAATCCAGCAACTAGCTGAATCCAACAGCACCATGGTCTTCCTTGAGGCTACTAAGATGGTATACGGACCAACCACTCAAGGACTCAATTCCTTACGTTTCAAAGGTGGCACAAGACTGCTTAAAGAAAGTTCTTTCATTAATTTTCGTTGGAAGGAACACTTTCAGGAACTGCTTAACAGATAATCACAAATTGATAATGACATCTTCAGCGAAATTCCATAGAAACAATACAGCAAGAACTAAGCGAGTTAAGTTTCCCAGATTAGACGAGGTTGAAAAGGCAATCAGGCAACTGAAGAACAATAAGTCAGTTGGTATTGACGGCATTCCTGCTGAATTCTTTAAAAAAGGAGTCAGGATATTATCGAATCGTCTTATCTCAACTGCCCAAGAGAGCTTCCCAGAGACACAGAGTGGCTTTACACACAACCGACCCAACAAATGCAAGAGGAATCCAGAGAACAAAATCGCCCTCTATACATGGCCCTCATAGATTAAGTGAAAGCATTTGATTCGGTCAACAGAGAAGCTCTTTGGCAAAGGCTGGGTGTCCGCAAAAGTAGATCCAGATAGTCCGCCTGCTGTATGATAATATGAATGCAATTGTCCTAAGCAACGATGGACAAGTAGAATATTTTCTAATAACTACAGGCGTTTAACAGGACTGTGCTATTGCACCCCTATGTTTTCTCTATTTATAGGATACATTCTTCACCTTATCGAGCGAGGTTCACCTGCCCTCAGGAAATCCTCTTCAGACTTGATGGCGGCTTATTCAACCTAAACAGATATCGATGATATCGATAATTGAACTTCAATACGCGGATGATAACGTTGTGATGGCCAATACAGAGAAAGATCTTCAGGCAATTATCAATGCATTCAACCAGGCATACAGGAGAACAGGCCTAGAGGTCAACCTTAACAAGACGCAGATTCTGCACCAACCCGCACCGGATATTAATCCCCAACCCCAAATATAACCATAAATGACCATTCTTTGCAAAACGTAGGGCACTACCCATACCTTGGGAGTCATCTGTCAACGAATGCAACCATTGAAGCTGAAGTCCAACATCGTTCAAATGAACAAACATTAGTGTTTTAGAGGAGCCCAGAACAACTAGCATTGAAGCCCTCATCATTAAGCACCGACTTCGCTGGACAGGTCACATCGTCCGCATGCCAGTAACAGGTCTTCCACGACAGACGCTACAAAGATGTTCTAAAGGAAAATATGGCAAAGTGTAGCATCGATACCAGCAACAGGGAGACGACGGCAAATGATAGGCCTCGAGTAGTCCACGATGGCCCACAAACTTTTAAATAACTGCGACGCAGACACAAGACCGAAAAGACGGACCGCAGGAAGGAGCGAGAGAACAGAGGACGAGAAAATGCTGCCAGAGACTGGGTGTGCCAAGACTGTGGAAGAGTGTGCGGCTCCAGAATTCGTTTATATTGCCTTCAGAATACGCACACTCGAGGACAATAGTATAGAATAGAAGATAATCATACTCGGTATCGAATGATCGCCTATGATGATGATGAATTTCGCCAGCGCTATATGAGCTCTCTAGCGAACAAATTTGCAAGTGCATCGAACAACAAGTTCCGTTTGTTGTTTGGTTCGCCGAAATTGAAAGTTTTGTGTTTGTTGTTCCTTTTGTTGTTGAACCTTGAACAAAAAAAGAACAACAAACCGAACATTATTTTGGTCCACGAACGCATGCAACAGTTTTGGAAATCCTGCCCTATCGTCAAATGGTATGTTTAATGGCAACGCTACAATACGCTAGATAAATTAATCACAGCTTCAAACTATTTTCTTACTCATCCCAAATTATTAATTGTACTGGAGTATAAAACACAAAATTTTGCAGTGCTAAACTTCCGTTAAAATGTTTAGGCATAAGTCAGATTCTTTGAAGTTCTAAGTGATTGCAGATTAGTTAAAGCTTAATTAGCAAAGGCAGCAAGCTGTTCATTGGCATATCAAAGTCTTATCTGTAATGTACCTATATTTACTCAAAATAGTAACAGCTTTATTGACCTGATATGAAGTTACGTTTCCATATTTATAAGGCATAAATAATAAAGGTTTGCTTCATTTTAATCTCAAAATAATAACATACTATTAACAAATGTTGGAATTCCTGAACCAACAAATAAAATTCGTTTACTCGTTTTATTTTTTTACTCAAAGCATAAAGCATTGCCCAAATATAGATAAATATGGCAAAGTGAACCATATAACACATGACAATATCACCGAATTTCACTGATCATTTCAGTTCGGTTTACGTAGTTGACATAAAGTTGCCTAATAAAAAAAAACATATTTTAATTTTTTCAATAAGCACTGGCATCTATATCAACCGCTCTGATTGAAACCGTTTTACAACGTCAACCTGAGTAGGTATACTTTTTATGCCATATATTAAGGAATCAGGTAGGTACTTAAGTTAAAAATCTGCATTATGTGTGAGAAAAAAATAGAAAAACCAATATTTTATTGTCTTCTCTCATGCAAATTCCTTTTGGCAATTATCTTCTGTTTTATATAAAAATAATACTTATACCAAATGTTCGATGTTTCTGGTCGGCACTAAATAAGTGTCTCCTGCGTTACAAAGGGAAAAGCTATGGGCCTACTTTTACTTCCAAATCAAATGTTCCAAAGCAACAAATGGTTAGTGGAGTCTTCACGTCCAGCTACTTCTGATAAATTTGACGTTCGAAAATCTTCATATCCGTCGCCGCCGGATATTACCAAATATCTGGTAGTTTTCACTTGGGGAATGTCAGGAAGTAACTTGCTTTTAGAATTCTTTTTTGACGGGGTACTCTTTTTGGGCAAGGGGTACGGCATTTCTAGAGAAGTCAATATTCGAACGTGTCCTGTGTGACCATGTGGTACTCCTGTAACTGGAGGAATTGTGGCTAACTTGCCGGTTGTAGGAGTAACATGAGGCAGTGGCATTGTGAGCAATACGCCTGCTGATGTTCCTATCCAGAGAAGATCTTTACAATGTACAAGAGCTGTTACACGAAGACAAGCTGCTTTGTGTTGTCGGATTATATCATCACAACCTGAAACCATAAATGTATTTTAATAAAATTCATGTAGTTTACGTCAAAAATTGCTAATTTCAAATTGTGAGCACTAAGGTGACATATGTATACCAACTTTAAACATAAAATGTACATTTCTAACATATAGAATGGCAGCTCGAAGAACTAAACCATTGTTTACGAATTTTCAGTCTTATTATTTTGGAACCAAAATAACGGCTTAACAAAATTATAGAATGAGCTTCAAGATACCTAATATGTCAGATGTCGGCTCAGTGCTATCATGAAAGAAAGTTTGAAGTGATCAAAAATGTGTCAAACGCGGCAAAAATGGTTTTTACGCGTACATTTCAGTGGGTAGGTACTTGTTGTTTTTACTCGTCCCCAAAAGTAATACCTAAAGTGATCTTTCCATTATTAATTATTTCTCCAAGTCCAAAATTCCCGTCGCTCATCAAACTAAAATGGCGACTTTTTAAAATAATCAGTTTTTTTAAATTTTTCTATAATCTAGTTGTACCGAAAGAAAACCCAGTGTATCAAATTTATCATGTTTTTGGTAATTGCTGCTTTTCTGAAACGAAAATGGCGAAAGAATGGAAAATTATTAATACATGCCGCTATTTCACCTGGAGTTTCATATTTCGAGAGATATCGAGGCCACGGAGTAGGTACCCAAAAATTCAGGTTTATATCTACGTCAACCAAAACCTGTTAAGACAACCGGGCAATTCCAATTTCACCGCGCAATAGTCCAGCGCTATAAAACGGAATCGGCGACCAAGGGCAAGATTCACTGATAAATTAGACGCCACTGTATCTAGAATAAGTAATTTCTTAGTTGAACGAGAATAAATTTCAATATTCGGATAATTAGTAAATGTGAGTCGACAGTAAAACAATGTTGTGATTCAGTTTCCTGACTGGTTGCTTGATTGTAGCTGAACAAAGTGCTAGTTTTGTCGTGATTTTTGTGTTAATGTGTTTTTGTCTAAATTACTAAAAAACTAAATTAATTTCGAAGAGTAGCCTCACTTATCTACGACCCAGCATACATAATAAACAATTGGTGTCAAAAGTGGAATAAGTCAGTAAATACATTTTCGTCTATGGTGAAAACCAGACCACAGACCGCCGAAATGGAAGATCAAATGAACCAGAGGTGCTCTGGTTATTGAAACTTGCGGACGAGACAAGAGTAAAAGAAAAACAGAAAGAAGAAGACATCAGACGAAACAAAGAACAGGACTGGCTCTAGAAAATTTTGCATGAACAATAAAACAAGCGACTGGAAGATAAACAGGGAGAACGGAAACAAAGATAGGGATATATTGGAACGATCGCCCGATTATCCCGGGTATAGGTAAATTCGGTCCCAAGTAATATTAGTCCAAAAATAACGAGTAAATTCGGCCCCAAACTTTGTTTTTACCTGAGACGGCATAGGTAAATTCGGTCCCGGGTTAATTGTTATATGAGGGGTTCAATAAATAATAACATCTTGTTAGGTAGGTATTGAATAATTTGTGATTTATTACCTAAAGTTATACAAAGTCATAGACTAGAAAAAAAACTGTCCAATACTAGTCGGCAATGGTGGAAGCAGTTTCCGTTGGGCGTTGTAGAGATTCTCCCATATCAATGCGACGTACAACTGCTAAGGGCTTTCCCTTTTCACTTAAAATAATTTTAAGATCTATCGTAAATCGATAATATACTTTTAAACAACACACACACAAAACGATAACAACTCTTTGATTAGCTCAAGTCGAATTCACGAAAGAAATGAATTAAAATAGGAAATGTTGCCTATTTATTAGGTAAAATTTGCACCCATAATAATCCTAATTACTTTTTTCTACGAAATCGATTAAGCCAGGAAGTATTGTAAAAGCCTCAGCAATGAACATGGTTGGGACCTAATTTACTAATCGATAAAAGGCTATAAATTTTTTAATTTATTCTGCTACCTGCTGGGATCGAATTTACCATCACCATTATCCCAGAAGATTCGAGAAGAAATGAAAAGCGAAATAAAAATGGTCGACGGCGAAATAGAGATACCTAGTCTGAGAAAAAAAGGCGGAATAGGCATAGGAATATAGCAGTTTCGCGATATAAATCTAGCATCATCAATCTATTTTTACTTATTTTACCGCCGAAACAATGCAAGCAAGCTCATTTTCTTTATTCGCAAATTTTAATAATTTGGAACTATAAATAGATTCCAATACTACTTTAGGAAGCCAATCATTCAATATGCGTAGAGATTTAACTGTTATTCACCTTGAATATTTCAAAGCTTTTTGTTGAAGAATCAAAATGTTTTTTTTTTAAATATTGAATGGAGAACAGGTGATCTTAATTGAATGTTATTTCTTTCCTTGAAAATTTCTGCACTGGAAGAATTCGAGTAGAAATATAGAAAACTAGAGGAGAAGATAGAGAAAAATGAATGAATCGAACAGCGAAACTGTCGGTGAACCCTATTGTACCTACGCGGCCAACTCAAACCACCAACATTTGATGACGAAACATCCTAGGCCATGCATAAACGACCGTTTGAGACTGCTGCAAGATAAAGTGACTGTGGACCTGTTGTAGGCGCATTAGAGCTGAGATTATGGAAGCAGTTCTTGGTTGAGAGTATCACAGCTAACTGAAGAGCAGAGTGCAAGGTCTAACGGGGACGCTGGAGGAACTTAGTGGTGGAAACGAGGGGGCATATTCACAAGCATGAAGCTCCAAAAATGTCTTGCAGAGTAGAAGAAGCAAGATTAGGGTCAGGGTATCCGCCGACCACCAAGGCAGATATTCATCTAAAACTATTAGAAGAAATACTGCGTGAAAGAAGACCGAGAAATGACAAAAGGTTGTTGAAATTGTACTCAATATTGTAACAGTGCCTGATGTTTTGAAATGGCGCGAATTGAGTTTTATCTCGCGATTATCCAGCGACTTTGAAATGAACGGAAGCGAATTATCTAGACAATTCTACAAAACGGTGTCGGCTACCGAGTGAAAAAGTTGGTGATAAATTAGACTCCAGTGTGTCAGGAATCAGTTAGTGCTAAATTGAACGCTAATAAAGACAAGAGATTGGCGGGAACCACGGAACAATTTATATGCGGCGTTGCCATTTTCGGAATTTTCATGTTTGGGCGGGAATCAGCGCCACGCCACGCCACCACCGCAGTTGTTTATTATTATTATCCCGGATAGTATATTTATTGATTCTGGATTAAATTTTGAATTACTCAATTTTTTGCACACACTACACACACACAGATGCATAGGCACATAGGTGCCTTTTTATTGTAGAAATTATAATTTGATTGTAGGTAGGTACTGCTTATGGATTGAATAAATTGAAAATTGAATAAAATTGAAACTACAAATTTTGTGTTTTGAAGGAGTATATGAACACTGGCTTCGGGAGTGGAAAGTCGTTTGTTCTGCTGCAGGGCAGAAAATTTTCTCATGTCAAATTCGAAAAATAATAGGTTATTTTTCTAACAAGTGCGGGAAATACCATTTTTCTATGACTGCTCTAGAAAGCTATTAAAAACGCAAAACGCACTGGGTACTATTTTACCTAAAAAATAAATTATTCCGCACAGCGTGCAAAAAGTACCTCTCACACGCTCATTGTGTGCGAAATAGCTATTTACCTAACAAGTGCGGAAAAAACGTTTTCCGGAAGTGATAGGTACAATAGTTTTTCTACAGACGTGCGGAAATAAGTATACCTACATAATTTGAAGTAATTTATGATTTTTTTTTTGACAGCCGTGCGGAAAAAAAAATTCTGCACCAATATCCGTGCAGAAAAAATTTTGCCACACCGTGCGGGAAAATTGATTTTCCGCACGCTCGTGTAATTTTATTATAAATAATATTTATTAAAAATGTTTCCAAAATGGTTGCTCAAAAAGACGTACTGTATGCGAGTCCCGGAAAATTGTTCGAAAATAATTGTTCGAACGGAAAATTCTTCGAAAGGAAAATTGTTCGAATGGAAAATTATTCGAAAAGAAAATTTTTCGAAAGGAAAATTGTTCGAACAGAAAATTGTTCGAAAGGAAAATTGTTCGAAGGGAAAATTGTTCGAAAGGAAAATTGTTCGAATAGAAAATTATTCGAACGGAAAATTGTTCGAACGGAAAACTGTTCGAAAGGAAAATTGTTCGAATGGCAAATTGTTCGAAAGAAAAATTGTTCGAATGGAATATGGTTTGAATGGAAAAACGTTAGTAAATGTACTTATACGCCTCGGAAGCGTAAATCTACCAAAAACGTGAAAAACCTTTTTTAAATACAACAGCTCGAAATTTCAATTATTTTTGAATCTCCGATTGCTTGCTTCGCTCACCGAATCTCAAAGAGAAAATCCGCGGAACCGTAAATTCGGCGTTGGTACGAAAGAGCGCAGCTCAAAAGCGAGCGAACAAAAGGGCGCAGGTCAAAATATTATTGGCAACCAGTACACTTCTAATCAGTATTAAATGAACTGTAACGAAACTAACCAAAAATATGCAAACTAACCCGTCCACGTAATGCGTGCTAGTCCTTGTATGTTAATATTAAATTTAAAAAACCAAGCGCCTCCTATTGTCAAGCAGTACGCTTTTAGCCAGTATTAAACGAACCGTGACCAAAATAAACAAAAATATGTAAACTAGCCCAAACTAACCCAAAAAAAATGCAAACTAACCCAAATTAACCCGTCCACCTAATGCGTGCTAGTCCTTGCATATTAATATTGAATTTAAAAACCCAAGAAATAAGAATCAGGGACAAATAGTAAGAATTAAGGAATTGGGTAACTCCGGTCATAGATTCATTCACGATTCACAGTTAAACTATTGATTTTTCGGCAAAAAAACAATTTTCCGTTCGAACAATTTACTTTCGAACAAATTTCTTTCCAACAATTATTTTCGAACAATCTTCGGTTCGAATAATTTTCCGTTCGAATAATTTTCCGTTCGAACAATTTTCCGTTCGAACAATTTTCCGTTCGAACAATTTTCCGTTCGAACAATTATTTTCGAACAATATTCCGTGGACGACTGTATGCACCACGGGCGGAAAGCGATTTCGACTCGTGTGATATCTGCCCTCGCTTCGCTCGGGCCGATATCTTCACACTCGTCGGAATCGTCTCCTTTTTCGCCCTTGATACATAATGTACTTACTATTTCACACGCGAAAATAAAAATGACACTTCCACTGAATTTTTGTTCTGCAAACAACTTTGAGTGCATTCAGTGTACATACCAAAATTGTTCGTTTATTATAACCTTACATAATAATTTTTTATTAATTTTTTAACAAAAACAAAAAATTTAAATCTCAATCTCAATATGACTATAGTTATTTTGCAGTCGTAGACAAAGTATAGTGTGTAACGCGTGTGAAAAGCACTTTTCGTGTGGTTTGTGCCACTTGCCTGCGGCTCGTGCCACCAAACTTCCCCACGCGTGTGAAAAGTGCTTTTTTCAACACTTGTTGCACAATACAGGGTGACCCACGGTGGAAGGCGTATTAGACGTTTATAGAAAACTAAAAAGCGGATCATTTTGAAAATTTGACAACCGGGATAAACGACCATAATCTACACTTTAAAAATATTTTTGTTTATGCGGTGTTGCCGCTTCTACTCTAAACCAGTGGCAACATCGCTATTTTAAATGGAACACCCTGTATGTGATTGCATATTTGGATTCTACGTAAAATTCTGAGCAGATTTCATGTGATATACCCTATACCTAAGTTCAACTGTTTTGGAAATATTGACAGTTGAAAATTGACTTTTTGCAACTTCGACAGGCTGTAAAACCTGAACGGTTAATTTTGGAGGAAAACCGATTTTACATTCCTGTCTTAGATTTTTATAAACTATCATTTGATACCAACTTTGAACTCAACCGGAGATTAAATTTAATTGGAATTTTCAATCATGGATTAAATTCAAAGTTGGTGTCAAATGATAGCCTATAAAAATCCAAGATAGGAATGTAAAATAGGTTTTCCTCTATAATTAACGGTTCAGGTTTTACAGCCTGTCAAAGTTGCAAAAAGTCAATTTTCAACTGTCAATATTTCCGAAACAGTTGAACTTAGGTATAGGATATATCACATGAAATCTGCTCAGAATTTTACGTAGAATCGAAATATGCACTCACATACAGGGTGTTCCATTTAAAATGGCGATGTTGCCACTGGTTTATAGTAGCTTCTTGCATGCAACCAACCAGAGCACGTACTATGTTCAATTTTGTGTATGAGGATTTTTTCAAGGCAGCTATTTTTCATTCGTATGAAAGAGTTACATTCGTAAAGCCGTCGAGCCTTTACAGCCTCAGAAAAACCAATTTTATGTCTATGTAGGTACCTAGTATTTTGCACTTTATTACCTACCCTACCAATTTTAAAGAAAATATATGAATGCATTTGAAAATTAACACTACAATATGTCGAATAGTTGTAGGCATAAAACTACTTACTAGTTAACATTTTCTGTACAGCTGGGGCAAGACTAGTTTCGCAAACCATCTCATAAGTCACAACATTATAACATCTGATCAAAGCAGAGTTTTGCAAAGATAACCATACGGAATTTCCGCTTAGAAGCATACAAGAAATTGCAGGATTCTGTGGTGGTTTGTTGGTTTCATTGGTACCTACTGAAAGGACTGTTTCCTTTTCATAGTTTTGTGGATTGAAGATGATGACTGTGCTACCACAAGCACATAGAATTTTTGAGTTATACACTACCATTTTCGAAACTGGTGTACTGCTATTCCCTAATGTTATTTGTTTGGGGCAATTTGTATTCCATCCACCCTCTGTAAAGAAATATATTTTTGGTAAGTGGAACTGTTTATGCGTCCTATATTTTACTTACTGCTATCTCTTTCGTAAATTAGTACAAACCCATTAGCTTGAGAAGCAAACACCTTATGATCCAAATATCTAAAATGAAATAAATATTACTCTTTTTAGACAAAATTCCTTCTAAGATACTTACATAATACATAAAATTGCAGAGCCGAGCTGCAATTTAACCTTATTCTTCTTGATACGTATATTATCATTCGAATTGTAGATATGAATGCAGCCATCTTCGGTGCCAAGCCACATTGTAGACAATTTATCGGGTTCTTCGCCTAGAAAACTGCTACACTCTGAATTTCTTTCAGATTTTTTTTCATCTTCGTCTCTTCTTTCATCTTCGTCGCTTGATGAGCTGCTATCGAACTGCATTGCTTTTTGAGGTTGTAATTTGTCTCTATTCTTCCCAGATGAAAATGATGAGGCTCTAAAGATAATTTTATGTGACAATAAAAATGGAATTAATTTTGAGGTTCATTTATTTGTCAAATATGATTTGTAATTGTTTAAACAATACAATACTAGCTACGGTTTTTTTATTGTAAACTTTCATAGGTACCTAACACTTTAGACTGGTCGCAAAGTGTAGCACACAATACGACACAAGCAACCGATGATAGGTAATTGGAAATATAACAGTAAGTTTGTCTCATATCAAAGCAACAGAAAATAGGAAACAAATTATACCTAGCTTTTTTCGCGATATGGATTCAGAACTGATTGGAAATTATTCGCATGCGCAGTTCTAATAATATCTTTCCCGAATTTGTGTTACTTACAGTTATCTGCTCGCGGTTCAACTAGAATCAGTCCTGGATCAATTCTGAACTAATTCCATTGGTTTTAGAGGGAGTTAACAAGAGTCATAAGTTGGAGATTTGAGCAGTTTTATCTAGCTATATTCCCAATTGTTAAGTTGTAGATAGTTCCGAGTTTATGTTTTCTGTTCCGAAAATTCTGAACTGGTTCTAGTCATTCGCTCAATCCTGATCGAGTTCCAGACTGGCTCAGAATCGTTTCGGACTGTGATCAGTGAACAAAGCTATTGCCGATTGTACGTTGTACGTTTATAATCATAAAATACAACCGATTTCCACAAATTTTATGGTAAGATGCAGAATCGCCTGGTATTTTCTGAATTGAATTAATATATTTTTTGCCTGATAGTAAATAAACTCTTCCCAAAGATTGGCTGAATATTGTTTTCGAAAATGATGAATTGCATTCAGAATGCAGGTGGCTACGGCTATCAGGCTCATAGGTGTATGGGGAGCTGCAGCAGCCTTCAGAGACTGGCATGTCTGTGCATCACCGGGGCTATGTGAAGCACACACAAAGCAGCGCTGGAAGCAATTCTGGGGCTCTAGCTCTCCTAAATAATCACATTAAAATGGCAGTCATAGTTAACGCCCACCGGATGAGGGCTGCCGGGGCATGGAAAGAAACAACAGACAACTACGGCCACACAAAGGTTATCGACCTGATGGACGATAACATAGTGGAAATGCAAACGGATCAAATGGTGGTAACCCATAAGAAGTCATATGCGACCCAAGAATATGGCAGAAAGGAACGCCTCATATAATAAGAAGATGCGTGGTCTGGTAGTAGACGGCTCCATAATAGCGGATGAAGCTGGCGCTGGCGTGGAGAAAGACCAAGATCAGAACGCCACAGTTTACCAGGCAGGAGATTCTAAGGCTGGGTTATAACAACCAGAACATAAGCATTCTCTCAGACAGTCAGGCTGCTTCGAAACTCTGAACTCAGATCGATTTACTTCGAAAATACCGATGGAATGCCTACGCGACCTGGAAGCTCTGTCGTCAAGGAATAACAGGATAAAGCTCCTATGGGTTCTTGGACATTCGGGGATAGAAGGCAACGAACAGGCTGACGAATTGGCCAGAGCGGGCGCAACTGCGCCCTACACAACACCAGAACTCTCATTTGGGATATCGAAGCACGTTATAGAGACAGCAGTTGAAGGGTCGTCAACCCATCAACACCTCGACTTGTGGCGGTCCACACCTGGAGCAAGACACTCGAAGGGGATTATTGGAAACCCCTCAAAGATGCTAACAGCTGAAGTACTAACGCGTACTCAGATAGGGTGGTAGGACTACTAAGAGGACAATGCCATCCTAAAGCGCACATGCATAAAATGAGACTCTACAATGGCTCAACGACATGTAGACTGTGTGGTGGAGAGGAGGAAACCGCCTTACACATAATATACGACTGTTTTTATTAATTTTCAAATTATAGTAATTTGTAAATTCAACTAACCCAAACTAACCCTGATTACCTCGCCCAGACATTAGTTTCCTTGGTGCATAGTTCCATGATGTAATTAGGATTGAAAGTAAAAAATGATAATGAAGAGTTTCGCTTGAAATTCCCGATTTTCCGGATGTCTCACGATTTTTGTCGCCCAGTTTCACAAACTTCTCTCCATCCATTCTGACCTATAATCACTACTGAGTTGCCAATTTAGACTATCCAAAGCCTATCCCGTGTCTATTATATAAATTTTATCAAATCACAATAAAATGACTCGATAAATTTGTGTGTAGATAGGTAGGTACCTACAACGTAGACGAAATTGTGAATATGATTTTCGGGACGGTAGGTTGAGTGACGAGACGAACTGCAACAAAGCAGCGGTGACATACCAAACATTCCAGCGACATCGAAAACAAATATGAAAGTTGATTTCTTTGATAAGTACAATCACCAAACAGCCACAAAGCAACAAACCAAAGAAAGCAAAAGCCATTGAGCAACATTTGAAGGCAGACATCCTAGTCGTTTATGAAAGGCATTTTTATACTTAAAAGAGTGTATGAAACGTTTCGATTTTATTCACTGCAAAGTCATTTAAAAATCAATGAAATTTGGTGATAAAAAGTTAATGGTGCGTTGAAAATATATCTACGGGGATGACCAAAAGTCTGGAATGAAATTTATAGTTTTTCAGTAAGTAATTTTTGCAAAGAACGCTGAAACACGTGGATTGATTCCGACTTTTCCACATTTTTCGGTTAAATGAATTTTTTTTTTCGAAACCCCCCCCCCCCAACCATCAGCTACCACAAGCTCAAGAAAAATGGAATCCAGCCATACCAAATAAACAAGTTTTATGTTTTTATTAACCAGTTTTTTTTTTATCTGTGAATTAGAACTTTTTTTATGGAATAAAACTGGCTTGGTGTCATTTGTTCGACAGCCGTTTGCGCGAGACAGAAAAGCGCGAGGGACAAAGGCGCGACGGAACAAAATGCGACTGGACAAAAACGCGAGGAACAAGAACGCGACTGGACAAAAGCGCGAGGGGCAAAATCGCGACGGAACAAAAATACGAATAAAAGCTCGAGAAACAAAAGCCCGAGGGACAAAAGCAAGATGGAACAAAAACGCGAGGTGCAAAAGCGCGACGGAACAAAAACGCGAGGGACCAAAGCGCGACGGAACAAAAACGTGATTGGAATAAAGCATGGACAAAAACGCGACTGGATAGAAGCGCCGCGAGGGACAAAAACTCGAGGGGCAAAAATGCATATGGACTTTAAGACAATGTAAAACTTACCGATAATAACCCGGTCAATTTGCAATTTTAATCAGACATTTCCAAACTTACTCATGGTAACCCGGTTAGTTTGCAATTTTTATCAGACATTTCCAAACTTACCGATGATAACCCGGTTAGTTTTCAATTTTAATCAGACATTTCCAGACTTATTCATGATAACCCGGTTAGTTTGCCGTTTTAATCAGACATTTCCAAACTTACCGATAATAACCCGCGCGTCTTAACTTTGGTAACCCCCTCATCTCTGCCGGATTATTATCGGTAAGTTTGGTAATGTCTGGTTGAAATTGCAAACTAACCCAAACTAATCGGGTTATCATCGGTGAGTTTGGTAATGCCTGATTCAAATTCCAAACTAACCGGGTTATTATCGGTAAGTTTGGTAGCGTCTGATTAAAACTGCAAACTAACCCAAACTAACCGGCTGAGTTTGGTAATATCTGAATTGTAAACTCCGGGTTATTATGGGTAAGTTTGGAAATGTCTGATTTTTGTTCCTCGCGCTTTTGTCAATTTGATTGAGAAAAAGTGAAATATCGCAGAAAATTTCTAGAGAACGCAATTTTAAACTTATTTTATAATTTCAATAGAAAAACCGAAAAGAAATGACGTTTAGGACTAATTTGGACCATTATGTAAATTTTATTCTTATTTTGAACCAAAAATATGATTTGGAAAGTTTTTATATGGCTATAAGCTACGATTTAGGTTGTATTTAATATTATTGAAGCCCTTTATTTTGTCATTTTCCTATGGGTATCTTTTATTTGTGAGCATTCGCTGTAGGTATTAATATGACAGCCTGTTATCATAGTCCAAGACAGTCGATATAGGCATGACGTCTGTAAAGTGTCTGGATTATAAAAAGTAAAATGGTACCCACTAATAGAGGGTGAAGGGAATACTTAGTCGTTAGAAGTGGGTGCAGGATAACTAAAAATAGTTAAAAAAAATCTACAAACCTGCTCTGAATTCCAGGACCTGGTACAGAAACAATACACAAAATCCTTGTATTACAGACTCCATTGCAAGATGTAACTGCAGGTTCTGGTTTTTCGTTTAACGTCAATACACATACTTGACCAACGTATCCGTCGCTGTTGCATACCCATACATCACGACCATTTTCACTTAAGGTAGGTGCAGCACATGTGAATTGTAATCCAGCACGAGTTTTACGAATTGGAACAGTTGCCATCATTTCTGGGGTTGGACGTCTATCACCTGAGAAACAACGAAAATAAGGTCTTAAATTCACATGTTTTTTTTTTCTGTTAGACTTGATAATGATAATTTCGATAATTACTCCTTGATTAACAAAAAATATTATTGGCCAAAAATTATAAACTATTGAAGAAAAATTAAAAAAAGGGAAGGCTTTAAGTTTTCTGCAAGACGATAAAAAAAGACAGTGAGTTTTATTAATACGCTGATTATTAATTTCATCTGCAACTGTTTTTGGAATGTCATATTAACCTTTTCTACCGCACTGCGGAAATATTTCTTAAATGAAATTGAGATCAAGGCATACTATAGACATTAAGACATTTTCAAATTAAAAAAAAAAAACATACTATATACGATCAAATAAATGGCAAGTTATTTATTGTAAACATTAATAATAAAATCTTTACAGTTAGATTATTAATATAATAGGTTTCTTGCATGAATTTTTTTTATTTGCTTATTGGAAAGAGGATTCAAAATTAAGCTCAACTGTATTTTTTTCTGATTTTTTTCGGACTTGCAAAGGCTCTAAATTTCGATTTGAAGCTCAAATTTCTTGGTGCCGTGACGTCACGGCACCAAATTTCTGATTGGTCAATTTTATTCAGTGTTGCCCAGATGTCAGGAATTTCATGTAAAATTTTCCTGGCGGCGACAACTGAATCGATCGAATCCACAGATTTGTAAGTATCGGAATATAAAATCGATTCTCATCCCTATGAAAAACTTAACCCAACTTTTTAATTCAAAATATATAATATAATCATTATTTATTTTTATTTATTAAATTATTAGAATGTCCAAGACTTCAAAAAAACGGGCAGAAGGCACGAAGGCACACAAAGGTTGCTCTACTTGGATTTTACTAATACACAATGCTAATATTTAGTGTTCTGCTGTGAGCTTTAATTTTACATTTTTAATTTCGGCACTGAAATGAAATAGGTATATAATAAATTACCTATTAAAATTATTGTTATTTTTCTTCTAAGTGGATTATGGGAAATAAAACAGGAGTATAATTTTTATGTGTCTGTACCTATTCGATACCAGTTTCTCTAATACGGCCGGTGCTACCTAACTCCCTAATTCCTAATTTCTATTCTTATTTCGTAAAATATTAGCTATCGATTTGGTCCTGTTACCCAGTTACTTATTTTTTTTCCGGCCACCAAATATATAAGACTAGATAGATTGATCTTCCGTATTCATGGGTTTTTTATTTTAATAGAATATAGGGGTTTTTTATTTCAATGTTGTTTTGTTTTCAACCAACACAAAATCACAACAAGACTATGAATAAAGCCCTTAGAGCAGGTAAAGGTAAAGGAGTAGTAACATGGAGTTGGAAAATGAAGCGGGTATTTTGGCACCAAAAAAATTGTGGTATAGAAATTGGATAAATCGATAACGCCATCATTTAGTAACACGCTGTTAACTTGTTATGAATTAAGCTCTAAGAAATAAAAATTAGAAATTAGAGTTAAAGGAGTTGGGTAACACCGGCCTAGCTTTTTACATTTTCACAGACAAAAACATCCTTTTTCCATTTTATTCAAACTACACACAGGGTGACTCCGGCCAAAGTATCCGGACTACCTTTCAGAACCGTTTATTGGTTTATTTTGAATAATTCCCCAGTGTCAGGGACTGTATTTTGTTGTTAATTGATTATTTTGTTTGATAAATTGGCCAGAGGTCACTGACCTGACCAAATAGTAAATAAAAGTCCCTTTCATCGTATTCGTACTTTATACTGTGCCGGATTAGTTCTTTCTTTGTCTAGTTCGTATTTAGACAAGAAAACAAAATTGTGAAAACTTCATAAGTCTCGTTTTATTTTTTATGTCAAAAGTAGAGCTGTACCAATGTCGATCCACAAAGCGATTTTGATATGTCTATGCGTCCTTTTTTGTTCGATGTGTTAAAAAAGAAAAAAAAAAGATTCGTTTGGAACATGAAAATTTGGCAAACAGTGATTTTTGATTGGTGGAAAAATATGGCGCAGAATTCAAATAATCTGCTTTTTTTTCTTTTAATTTCTGCCTTCAAGATTTAAAAAAAAAAATAACCAACCATACTGTTATGTAGTATATAAAATACACTTTCGTTAGAGATAAATTATATACCTAATTTCGATTGAGTGCAAGAAGTCCATTATTGGCATGCCTAACATTTTGTTGTAAAAATGTGGACTGTGACCGTAATTTGTGGATGTTGATGGAATATTATCTTGAGATGTTGGGACTATATTGTCCGCTCCCAGGAAAACACTATCGCTTGCACCTAGAATTATTGTCATAGCCGTTGGTTACTTGTTTTCACTAGAAGTTTCGATGTAGCCCAAGTAGCATTTTTAGTGGTTGAAACGTGGCGGGTACGATCTTTAGAAACATTGTGGTGTATTGCCAAAGTTTCTGCCACGTTAAAGACACTGTTCTACTTCGTGATGGTGGTTACCAAAATGGGAAACACATTTTTGGTGACAGCTACGTTTTAATAACATTTTTGGTCTTATACCATCCCTTCTATAGCCACGTGGCTATTACGTGACGAAAACGTGGCGGAGTGGTGGCCGACACTGAAAGGAAAACTTTGCTTACTGCGCTTGTCTTTTTTTGGTTATTTGTATCTCGGTCTCTTTCATGAACATTATTTGTCCACTCTCCCTACTCTTCCTCTATCTCGACATAACTGACAGCCTAAGTTCTATGTAAATGGATAATAATTAATATAATATTAGGTATGACATGCAAACACAAGGAAATTGAATTAAGAAAATTCTGGAGCTGGAAGGCAAAAACTTAGAAAGATTGAGAAGTTACTGTGAAATATAGGTGCTTCAAAATTATACACCTACACCGGAAAAAAAAACTGGTTACCCAATATTATATATATAAATGGTTAATTTAATCATACAGTCTGATTAGTATATGCACAGCCATTAGTTGCAGTACCCATTCAAATAATGTCACTTATATATTGCTGCTTTAACAGTGCCCTTTCTTGACGGACACAATAAAAAACATGGTTAGACAAATCATACGTTAATGTAGACCAAACCAATTAGGTTGGTTATCCTAATCACCGCAAACATTCAAATCCAGTAAATTGGATTGTTATAGTAACAATAGCAGTGCTTGAATGGCTGGAACTAGCCGTAAAGACTCCATATGCATAGGGGTCGCCAAGTTCTTGATAATTTCAAGATCTTGTCTTGATCTTGTCTTGAAATCAAGACAAGATCAAGACAAGAAGTAATTTTAGATTTCAAGACAGGACAAGAAATTTTCTGTCAATACCAAGATTTCTTGTCAAGAAAACAAGAAATCTTGAAATATCTTGACTAACAATGGAAATGCTAAAACATAATTATTTGTGAAAATGATAACATATATTCTAACATAAATAACATAAGATATTTTAATTCATTGAACTGAATATATTTTTCGCTAGAACGATTCACAAAAATGTAAATTAAAAGTAAATAATAATTCTGTTAAAACTAAAATTGCAAACTAGATTTTAAATAGGTACCAAATTTAACACATTTTTAGATCGGGATTCATGAGCCATGAGTTAAGAGGCACATCATTATATATTTACTAAAACCGCAACGCTTGCGTTTCTGTCTATTGCTTGAGGTTAAATATTCTGAGCCAGAATCGGAGTGAAATGGCTCAACAGACGTACCTACTATTTACTGAAGAGTCACCGTCACTCATGGTAAAATAAGCGATATTATTAATATAATGTACTATTTACTACCACTAGGTACCACTTTTCATAAACTGGCATCAAAATATAACAAAACAGGTACAGACTACAACTACAATAACTTCACTCAACTAAACGAGGTAAAGCGTGCATTTGCGCGACATCATTTGCGTTCGTCAGAAGAAAACAAATAACGATTGGGGAACCACCAGATTGCCGTAAGAACCACCGGTTAATCAAGAAATTTCAAGATCTTGAAATTTCTTGAGTCAAGACAAGATATACGATGTCAAGAAAACGTCAAGACAAGATTTTTTGAAATTTCTTGATTTTTTCTCAAGACAAGACAAGAAGTTGTTATCAGGAAAAGAATTCTTGTCTTGTCGACCCCTACATATGCAGTCTATAGTAACAATAAGTATTGTTGCATTAACCATTCCGTATAGAAAAATTACTATATTAAATGACTTAATAATATCGTTTCCTTCCCATATTTTTTTCGTTATAGTGAATAAGCCCTACTGCTAAATATACAATATTGTTTTCATTGACACTATACTGTTATAGTATCTTGACCAGAAAGAAACTTTTCTGGGGATCTGGAAAAAAAAAATCCATAAAATGGAAATAAATATATTACAACAAAAAAATTTATTATGGCGAAAAAAAGAACAATAAAAACAAGCATGATACCCTTGTTACAGAAAAATAAATAAAATAAAGTAACAATAATTTCTCAATACAAAAAAAAAACTAGGTACTTACAAACTTTGGTACTTACATAGATAAAATATCATTCCTTTGCAGTACGTAAAGAATAGAGAATATATCCTAGCAGTACATAACTAGTTTAAATTAAAAAAATAATTCAAACAAGACAAAAATAAACTCCACTCATACTAATACAATTTTATTTTCTAGAAAACAATTCAAAAAGATGTATGTCAACCCACATCAAAAGTGCATGCATATTTCATAGTTACCATTTTAAATTCCTTTGTATTAACAGTAATTAAACTTAAGATTAAATATGGCAAATCTCCAATATTTACATACTTTAAATTGTCGGGAAGTCCCATCAGCATCGTAAAGTGTCATCAGTGGCATCAGCGTCGGCCATCTTACTTTATTGGTTAACTATTAATTCTTGCCAAATTCCTTATCCTAAAAGCAAAAAACGGGAAAATAAGCATCAGAAGCTTATGCTGCACAAATAGGTAGGTACTTATTATTATCCAATAAGTTAGTTACCTACCTAATATAATAAATAGGTAAAAGTA